TTTTTCATCCGATCCCTGAGGCTCCTCTATGGCAGACGTCTCAGATCGCAGGTGTCTCTTCTTGTCCAGCTGTCTCTTTCACTACCCTAACTACATCTGAGCTTCCCATCTCGTCCTCCGACTCTGGTTCCATTACTTCAAAAGACCCGTCCGGGTTGAACAGCAGACGCATTCCGTAGAAGAATGGCACTCCCAGTGTAGGATCTTTATATCCCTCTGGAGTTTCGTCGGGTTTAACCTTGTACCAGGCATTGTGCACCTCACGACTGAATGCCTTATTGCACAAATCTGGGGCCACATGTGGAACATACGGCACCTGTGTCAATATCCATTTCCACGTCCTTCCCCTGAATATTCACTGTGATCTTTCGTAGGTCCCATGAAGCGTAGTCGTAGCACTCACGGAAAGTAAGTCTGTTCTTATCTAAATCTATGATATAACAGTAATTAGCAAGAATGTCGAGACCAAGCAAGTTGTGGTCAAACTTGTTCTTAACGATCATAAGCCACACTGATATATAGTTATTAGTCTTCACACTGGCAAACAAACGATGAGGGAGACCACCTTCCAAACCGCTCTCCTCATATCCCAAGCTTGTCATTTGTTCTCTGGTAATGGAACTGATCTCACACCCAGTGTCTACCACGAAGCAAACTGGAATCCCTTCCAACTCTATCATCACGTGAGGCAGACGAGATCCCTTTTACGCCGATGATGTCTATAGTTTCATCGATTCTGTCTGTTGCTTCCTCGACGTCGGCTATTTCTCCTGTTTCTTCGACAAGGCCAGTTTCTTTTGTGGTTTCCTCTTCCGTCAGCATCTTTCAGTTTTTCGACTCCGGTGTCTGGGCAGATGATCTTCGTTTCCCTTTGACCCTGTCGCCGGTGCACCTGTCACGCCTTCCTGGAGAATGAAAAGGAATTCTTGAATTCCGACACACACACGCACACACGCACACGCACATACACGCACGCACGCACACACACACACACACACACACACACACACACACACACACACACACACACACACACACGCACGTACGCACTCACACGCACACGCACCCGCACACGCACACGCACACGCACACGCACACGCACACGCACACACACACACACACACACACACAAATAAATATGTGTGTGGGTGTATACAAACAAACAGGCGAGAGAAAAATAGAAACACAGTCAGACAAGTGGATTGGTGAGTAGTTATTGCCTCTGCTGTAGATTAGATATCATGTGTAGCTCGTACTGTCCCAGTTGCAATTTAAGAGATCTCACTGATGGTTTTATCTTATGCTGTAGCTGAGACTTTCTTTCTTATATCATTAATATGGAAATATAACTGCCCTGATGATTATGAAAAGTATTTCAATTACTTTCCTTCTTCATCGAAGGTGCAGGATTATTCAACTCACTTATGTTTAAAAACCACTTGTGTTATTAATGAGTATTGTGGATTACAATTGTATTGTGCAATAAAAATGCTGATTTAGTTTCGCCATATTTGAAACCACTTAAAATAATATATATGTGAACGATGCGATTGTGATTTGCGAAGTTCTAGCTTCGCCCGGGCCTTCGGCTATGGCCTGGCCTGTGTCAGCTTTTTAGGGCTGACTCATTTCGTTCTATGGCACTCGGTGCTTACCGTGGCGGTGGGATTGCCAGCAGGCGCTCCTGCTGCCACGGGGTAAGCGAATCGCAAAGTCTCTTTACCAGCACGGCGGCTGTTGTCGGGGGTCCCTGTCTCAGGAATTGTGTGTGTACACAATTCTCTAAGTAATGTATAAGTGTGGCGTTCGGCTCGCCGCAATCCATGCAACACCTCTCTTCACGGTCAATGGTCTCAATTATCTGCCATTTACAGTGGTAACCTAAGCGCATTCTGTGGAGAATGACTTCGGTTTGTCTGTTTTTTAACTCAGAGAGTGCCAGAGGTTCATAGCCCGTTGCTTCTGAATACCATCTGGCCGAGGGGGAGGATCTCGTTGCCTCTCTGTGAAGCTGCAGGAGGAAGGAGTTGACGACACCAGTACTCTTCTTCCGAAGTAAATTACGGCTAGGTGCAATGATCATGGGACTAGGGGGCATACCCCTGCCAGAGACTGCTAGTCTGTCAGCAAGTTCGTTCCCTCTGATGCCAGTATGGCTAGGGACCCAGTTGAGAATGATTCTTCTACCCTGAGCCAGTATTCTTTGAGCTATTGTTAGTATTGTGGTCAGGAGGTAGATATTGTCTTTGGGTGAGCTGAGAGAGAGTCAATGGCTGCCCTAGAGTCAGTATGTATGACTACGTGTCCTTCCATTGGGGACGCGTGGGCTAGGGCTCCCATGATCGCAACGGCCTCTGCCTGTAGCGAGGAGGCGTTGTCTGATACCCTCATGGAGCGCATGGCATCCCTTGCTGCGAAGCCGGCGCCTGCAGTGTGGTTGGCTGGATCGACCGATCCATATATGTGAAACCGTACTGATGGGTTCACATAATTCCCATACTGAGAACTAAAATAAAGTAGGAGAATGAATTATTTGCGTTAGTTTTATCCCATATTGATGATTAGTCATTTGCAGATATAGAGCAACTCTTAATCAAATAAAACAGTAATCATAAAAAATAATAAAATGATAAAATAAAATAAAATAGTTAAATGTCAAAGAAAAAAGAAGTGAAGCATAGTTTTTTATTTTACTCAGTTCCTGAATTATATTGAGAAACTCACACACACATACTGAAATTCAAACATACATACATTTATACATACATCAAGAGAAGACAACCAATGAAAACTTAAATCAAGAGTCCCATAAGAAATATGGTCTACTTAAGGCAATTCACAGCTGACTTTTAATTGGTTAAAAAGTGTGTGATTGATGTAATCTGTGTCTTCAGCGAGGGATATTAAATACACGGAGGTTATTTATTATCAAACAAGGAAACACACTAAGATCTATCCCGTCAAGCCATGCGAGCGAGTTAATTATGTCGTATGATTCACTTTTTGTTTCTTAATCTAATAATACGCAGAAATCAAATGCATTTTATAAATTGGGACACCACCCCATATCCTGTCTCAAAAAAAAATAAATAAATAAAAAAATAAAATAAATAAATAATGAAAATAATTATATATATATATATATATATATATATATATATATATATATATATATATATATATATAATAAAAAATAATAGATAAATAAATAAATAGAAAAAATAATAATAATAAAAAATAAAGTAATAAGACAGAACAAAGACAATTTACAGGATTTATTCAGATTCCACGAGGGATTCTGTATCTTGTTTGTAGGTAATGTCCTAAACGAAAAACAAATATCATCTTTTTACCACACTTGTCGCCAGATACTTTATTTTAATAAATTCTGACTTTCACGTGTGGATTTCTGTATCGCAGGATCATAAAGAACTACATTATACATGTATTAATGCTCTAGTAACGTATGAAACATAATGCAGTCTACAGAGAGTATTTAAAAACGCAACTGATAGAATTCAATCAGTTATGGATAGAATTAAATTGTAAGTAAAAGAAAACGGAATAATCTGCTAAAGAAGAAAATGGCTCTTCTCAAGGGGTGACTAGTGAAAAATAAATTCGTACTTTAATTTTGTTGCAAATATAAGTTATTAGAGCGATATCAGTTGGGGGGGAGGGCAATTGCCTCTTCAGTACTCTGTAGGCCCCCTTAAGAACCACTTTTTGTTTGCTTATTTTATACTAAATTATGCCTTTAAAGGTCCGGTTATAGCATAATAATGTCCCTAGAATTGCTATTTTTTTCTAAATTTTTATTCACCTCGTTCGCCTACACTCCTTGCCCCCTCAAGAAAATGATGAAATGACGCCCTTGAGTCATTAATACCATGTATCACAATTACCACTAACATTATTGCATCATCTCCAGTAATATCATCCTCGTCATCATTACTATCATCACCATAATTTATCTGCTCTCGTCTTGATTTTTTTTTTTTTAACTCAAGATAAGAATGTAATGTAACCGTTATGGCCTTTAACTCCAAATCACAAACAAAATTAATAGACACGTATTAGAAATGCCTTATTTCTTGTGCCTTGCTTTCACACAACATAAATATTCTTCATTATCGAACTGTTTTTTTCAATGGTAATCGTTTATGCTTTAGTACCGCGGTACCTGTGACAGGAATGAAATATATGTATTCAGTAAGTAATAGTACAACCCTTTGAAGAAATCGTATTTTATTAATCGGGGTAAGTGGGCAGAAAATTCCGATTGTTTAATATCAGTCGGGTTATTTGTGTGTAAAAAAAAATACGTGTCCCTTTAAGAGTACATAAGCATGCTCTTATTTTTATTTTCTAAATAATCCATTAAAATTCATATCTGTCCCCACACATTTTTGTGTAGTTAAAAATGGTATATGTATATGTATATGTATATATATACATATATATACATATACATACATATATATACATATACACATATATATACATATATATACATATACACACATATACACACACACATATATATATATATATATATATATATATATATATATATATATATATATATATATATATATATATACATGTGTGTGTTTTAGATTTAAACATTTTATTATAAAATGTCACAAAAAAGAGAGAAGAGAAAGAAAGAGAGAGAGAGAGGAATACAAGGAGAGAATACATCTGAAGGAAGATGGTTGCTACACTGCCCCGTATACACTTGGACTCACGAGCAAAGCATAGCGAGTCCGGTAACTAAAGATGACTCGACCACGGTGACACCCGCCCGTGCACAGGCGTAGCCCACGTTCCAGGCATAGATCGGGCGTAGGACGGTTTCGTTGAGCGAGTTTCCTTGTACCTGTGATGCATTTCGTTTCGTGTTTCGAATTGTTCGGCTGAGTAGTCGATCAATGGAAAATGATCTCGTGGCGTGTGTTCGTCCCTGCTTCCGTTCTGCAATGAATAGTGGGATAGTA